GCCGCTGCCCCAAAACCCTCTGCTTTTGACTCGGTGCAACGAGGGTTTAGGCACACAGGAAAATCCTTTCCTGCCCGCAGTTGGGTCTCGCTGGACAAAAGCTCTGGGTTTGGAAGGGAGAGCGCTGGAAATTCATCTGGAATGTGGCGAGGAGCAGAGCGGTTTGTTCGGAGCCAGTTTGGAGCCGTGTCAGAGCGCCGGGTGCCGGGGTGTGTTTACAATGAAAAAAAGAGTATTTATAATATTGAGGGCTCTTTTTAAGTCCCTTGAGAATCTCTGGAGCTGGGGCTCGGAGCTGGAGCGGCTGAGTAATGGAAGATAAAAAGCAAACAGAGGAAGGGGACGGGGGGTTTCTCAAGCTGAAAGGTCTCAGCTCTCTCACCGACACCCAAATAGTGCTGGCCTGCTAATGTGGGTGCTTCTTGCCTCTTGGATACTTCATGTGATTGCTGAGCTGTGCAGGGCTGCTAATAAATCATATAAATTCCAAATACCCTGGGGAATGTGATTTTAAGCAGATAAGTTAGAGAGAGAACAGTTGGATTTTTTTTTTTTTCATGTACTCAGTTTTTTTTTAGAACTGTAATTTTTGAGGGAAGGAGCCAAAATACAGCTCCTGGGTTTATATATCCCTAAACCCAGCTCCATGAGTGCTCCGAAAATGGAATTAATGTGTTCTTGCTGCTTGGGTAAAGGCAGCCTGGAGTGAGGTGGTGGAGCTGGTGTAGGGCACTGGGTCCTTCTCTGCTCACTGCTGGAATGTAGAAGTCTCTGGCCAAATAAAAAGCTCTTGAAGGAAGGAGGAGAAAGTTTCTAAGGTGGTTAAGAGAGGATGAGCTTCAGCTGAAGCAAAAAAGTTGGGTGTCAGAAGCCTCTGGACAGTATGAGAAGTTTTGGAGTCGTTGTGCACAATACCTGAGGTGCTCCAGCCTTTGAGGAGCTCACTGGGACCTCCAGGCATCTCCCAAAAGCGAGAAAGGTATCAGTCATCCCAAGGCAGGGATTTATCCAGCTCCTCAGATCCCTGCTAACCATGACATTGACCTTTTCCCTGAAATGTTCCAGATATTCCTTCACTTCCTTGGGCTTTGGTGAACAAAGCAAAATGCTTAATGAAACTCAAGCGTGAGCAGAAAATGCTGTGTCCCTGGGAAAGGGCAGCTCGTGGCCGTGGGCAGGAGCTGCCCTGGCTATGTAAATCAGGAGGATGTGATGCAGCAGCAGATGTCACGATAGCAGGAGTGTCCATTTTTATCTTGGCATTGTCCTGTTTTCTCTTTTTATTGAAGGAAAAGTTTACTTTTATTGTCTGCAACGTGCAGTTCAAAACCTGATTTGCTGTTTGTTTTGCTCGCTGAGGATCTGCTGTAACTTGGGGAGGTTTTGGGGCCGTGTAGATTGGTGTAGGCATATTCTTCTTTTAAATATTTTTAGGCATTCTTTCCCCTCGCTGGAGGGAAAGCAACGCTCAGTCTCACTTCAACTCAAGCTGCACTTCGAGCCGCGTTTGGAACTGGGTGAAAAAGCACAGGAACCACATTTAAAACGCTAAGATGCTTTTATTTATGCGCTGGGCACACACAAAAAGGCTCGTAATGTGTTTTTTGTTTCAAACCGATGCATTAAACAAAGAAAGTATTGACAGCAGCTAATGAATCGGGGGATTGTTTCTGGGCGCTGAGATAGATTTACCAAAGGTATTTAGCTGTCTGATGCATGGGATTTGCAGAGCAGCCTTAAGCAAGTGCTTGCCAGCACAGACACATGAGGTTCTTCTCCGAGAGCTGAGCAAACCTGGAGCTGGGCCCAGGCGAAATCTTTTGGCAGGCTGCTCCCTCTCCCCTGCTCCGAGGTGTGCTTGCAGCCGACAGGCTCGTGCGTGTCCCGGCCTCTCGGCCCTGCCTTCCCTGCACGGAGCTGTTCCAGGGCTTTGGGAGGTGCGTTCCCGATCCACGGAGACGCGCGGGCTCGGTCGGCTCCGAGGGTGCAGAGCTATCCAGGCCGTTGGCTCGGCCAAGGAAGCCGCTCGCTGGGTCCGTGGCAGGGCAGAGGACAACTGTTCCCCCTGGAGAGGATGGTACCGGATTAACCACGTGGATTCGGATTTCTTGGGGGGCTCCTCGCGGAGCGCTCGATGCCCACGTGGGCTGAGCGTGGGGAAGGCAGGTGAGACCGCTCCAGGACCAGCCTGGCTTTAAGTTCTGTGGGTTGTTTCACGTGCCCAGTGACCCGCTGGGCGGGGAGCAGGGTGGCACAGAACTCCCTCTGCTTTCCCACCCCAGGGAGCAAGGCTGTGGAAGGAGTCGGTTGGAAGAAGCTGCGGGACCTGCTCTTTGGAGACACTCGGTGCTCCCGAGTCACTCTCCTCTTCCCACCCCTGCACGCAGATCTGCTTTTAAAAGCTACTGAACGAGTTTGCCAGGGCTGAGCATTTCGGTCCTTCCAGCCTCTTCGGCAGCACCGGCTCGTCGGAGGCGCCGGGAGTCGGGGCTGGGATCTGCGGGCGGGAGCTGGGGGGGAGCATCGACCCCGCTGGGTTTGGGCTCTGCTGCCTCTGGGTGCCTTCTGGGGTCTGTCCTCTCCGGGAGGAGCGGGAGCTGCCGGCGCCGTTCCCGCTCAGGCCCTTGGCACTCAGACGGTGCCCGCGGCGCTGCGACTCCTCGACAGGCAGCGTTCAGAGGGGCAGCCAGTAAGCCTGGCCATAAATCTCTCTTTATGCTCTGGATTATGAAGTAATATTTTCCTGGCTGGGGCTTGGTTGGCTTGGGGAAATGCAGGCCCTGCTGCAGCTGAATCCCAGCATGGTGGTGGCTCTCACGGCAGCCGCGCTGGGATGTGCCGCTTCCCCTAGGAACACGAGGGACCTCCCCAGGAGCTCTCCGTGAAACTTGCAGCCGTGGTGTTGCTCCTGGAGCTCTGGAGAAGCTCTCCAGCAACCTGGATCAGGCTTAATCCTGTTCCCCACCCGCCTCTGGCCGCAAGTGCCTCACCTCCCCGCAGGCAGCGCCTGTTCATTCATGGCAAAGACAGCCTGGCTGGGACTCCTGCCCGAGCTCAGGCAGGCGGTGCAGGCTCTGGCTGCTGCGCAGGTTTCCTGTGCCATGGCCTTTTTGTGCCTTTTGTCCTTGTCGAGGGAAGGAGCCCTCAGCCTGGTGCCAGGCTGGAGAGCCTGGCTGTGGAGAGGCGGAGCTGGCTCCTCTCAGGGGACTTACCCCGATCTGCAGAGTTTGTGGCAGCACGTGCAGGGGTTGGTGGCACGTGCAGGTGTGTTGGCACGTGCGGGGTGACACCGCACACGGCAGGGGAAAAAGGCTTCGTAGCTGATCTGAACTGTAACGTGCTGCTGGCCCAGAAGGGTTATTTTGAAATCCTGCAGATCACCACCGTTGGTGCCTCTCGGCAGAGTCCAACCTGCGGTCGGAGCAGCCTTGGCCTCGTGCCGTGCTTGGTTGTGCACTGACCCCGCTGGGAAGGCTGTCCTGGCTCCCTTTGCCTCCTCCCCTCCCTCTCTGCCCCAGCTCCCACAGCCCTGAGAAGAGCCTTCCTGCTCGCTAATAGTTTTCAGATGAGACTCAAGAGTTTTGAGCTGGGTTTGGTGGTTTCTGGGCCAAAGCAACTTCAAGCTGTTAGCAGGACCTGCAGCGTTTCAGCGGGCCCAGGGTGTCCCTGGGAAGGCTGGTTTCTGGCTGCCCTGGTGCCTTGTAGGTCCAGAATGCTGGGATTTGCCTGGGGGAGGTGGAAAACTGGCCTGTGCAGCCGGGAAGGGATGGGAAAAGAGGACGTGCCTGGCTGATGGGAATGCCCCAGCTCGTACATCTCTTCGACAACATGTTATAACCCAGGTTTATTCTTTTTGGTGGATTTCTGGGCACGGCAGGCAGCGTATTCAATTTCTCTCTGAATAGCTGAAAGGCAGTTAGGAGCTCTAAGCAGACTTGAAGGCATCTAAAGATTATTTTAACTCCTCTCGCCTCCATCCCTGCAAAAGGAACCCGTGCCTGCACTTGATGCTGTTGGTGCTTTTGAAAAGTTCAAAAATTGACTTTTAGCTCAGAGCAAAGCTTTGAAGTGCTGCCTCTGTGGGAATGGCAGCACATCTCAAAAGCCTTTCGCTGAAAGCTTGGTTAACCTACATTTGTGGGCAGCTCCCTTCAGAAGATGCCTTTGTGGGGGATTTCGTGGCGGGATATAAAGGTGAACTGTGAAATTTAATGGATTTTACAAGGAAAGGTTAAATCTGTTTGTTCTGCTCCTATTCAGGGCCTGCAGCTGGTGGGTGCAGGGTCATCCTTTTCTGTATGCGAAAGTTATCCTGCATAAAGGCTGTTTTGTCTCACTCCTTGTCTCCTTGTTTGCATAAGTGCTTCGAGGAGGGTAAGCTGAAGAAGCAGGAGTGAACCTCTTTAAGATGCAGAGCTGGTGCTTGGCTGTAGCAGAGAGGAGGTGGCATTCCTGCCTGCAGCCACTGGCTCCTTGCTTGCTTTTGGGAGTGGAAATCGGGATTAGCATGTTCTGGTTGGATTCAGGGCTCAGCATCAACTGGTAGGTAGGAGAGAAACGAGTCCTGCCTCTCTCAGGTGAACCCCTAGTTTGAATGTTGGCGTATCAGGAGGGTGTGGGGTGCCTGGCTGTGCAGTGACAAGTCTTCTTCTCTTTGCAGGCACTGGGAAGGGGGACGTAACACGACACACTGTTCCGGGCTGGAAGCCCCCCAGACTCCAAGAAACCTGCTTCTTTTTTGGTGAAACAGACCCTGACCTCGGGTTTCCTTGCTGCATGCCCACTCACCAGTGCTGGATTATGTTTGTCTCCTTCTCCCTTTGCTCCATAATTTGGCTGAATCGTGGTTTCAAGCTCAGGAAAAGGGGCTGCACCTAAAGTGCTCCAGGGCACCCGGACCAGGCTCCTGGGGTGCTGCTTCCCGCAGAGACATTCAGAGTGCTGATGGGGGAGAGCTGCCTCTGAGGAACCTCCTCTCCTACCTGGAACGTGCTGTCTGACTGTTCAGAGCCCTTCTCACCCCCACCACCCCAGCAGAGAGGATGGGCAGCACCGATGGCTTCCAGTACCGCGCGCTCTACCCCTACCGCAAGGAGCGCGAGGAGGACATCGACCTGCTACCCGGGGACATCCTGGTCGTCAGCAAGGGGGCCCTGCAGTCCCTGGGCTTCAAAGACGGGGATGAGCAGACCCCCAACCAGATCGGGTGGATCCTGGGTGTCAACGAGCGGACCAAGCAGAAGGGGGATTTCCCTGGCACCTACGTGGAGTACGTGGGGCCGGTGAAGATCTCGGTCCCTTCTCACCGGCCCCGAGTGCAGAGGCCCCTGCCTGCCACGCCAGGGGCCAGCGGCTGCCGGCTGCCGGAGGCTCTGGAGCAAGGTAAGCCCTGCTGTGTGCTGTGTTGGCTCCAGGACAGCTCCACTCCTGGTGTGTGACAGTGTGTGAGTGGCTCTGCAGGACAGCGGTGAAGCCCTTGGCTCAGCAGCTGCACGGTTGAGTTGCCTGGGGGTTGTGGGCTCAACCTCAGTCCTAGCCCAGAGAAAAACATGTTGTTCCTCCTCAGTCTGCTCAGCAGAGCTTTTTGGAGCAAGCCTTGTACCTCTGCAAGATCCTTCTCCCTCTCTGTCCTGCAACTGCCCAGGATCCCTGTGGCCCTTGGTCCTTCTCCACTCAGTTCTGCCCTGCTCCCTCCCTTCAGGATAAGCCCTGACCTCTCCCAGCCACCAACTCCCCGCCTCTGCAGCGCCTGGGGCAGTGCTCCCTGCCAAGAGCTGTTCAGCCCTGCTGAGAGACACAATTACTTTGTCTCTGGGCAAGAGGAGAAAAGTCAGGGTCTAAAAGAGCACTTCTGAGAACTGGAGCTAATTGCTTGTCTGCCTGGCAGCCAGCCCTCCCCGCGGGTCGCAGGGCCCTCTCTGGGGCCGGGCAGCCACCCTGGGGCTGGGCATGGGCTGTCCTGCACCTGCAGCTGCCTCCCAGCTGGCACTGGGCTTGGCACGCATCTGATCCGGGAGAGCCAGCGTGCCTCAGCCCTGCCTGTGGAACTGTGGCAGCTGCCTGCTCTTTGCCTGTGTTTTTTTCCTTCCCAGGCACATAAACCCCGTGGCAGGGGCTCAGCAGCCCCTGGGTTCCCCCCCATCTACTCTGTCCTTGTGAGACTCCACCTGGATTACTCCATCCAGGTCTGGGGTCCTCAGCACGAGAGAGTGAGTCCAGAGGAGGCCATGAAGATGCTCTGAGGGCTGGAGCACCTCTGCCATGGAGACAGGCTGGGAGAGCTCAGGGTGTTCCACCTGCAGAAGAGAAGGCTGTGGAGAAACCTTATTGTGGCCTTCCAGTACTTAAAGAGGAAGAGAGACTTCTTATACAGGCACATACTGATAGGACAAGGGGGAGGTTTTAAATTGTAAGAGGAGAGATTTAGATTAGAAACTGGGAAGAACTTCTTGACTCTGAGGGTGGGGAGGCCCTGGCACAGGTTGCCCAGAGAAACTGTGACTGCCCCACCCCTGGAAGTGTCCAAGGCCAGGTTGGACAGGGCTTGGACCAACCTGGGACAGGGGAAGGTGTCCCTGCCCATGGCAGGGGGTGGAACAAGATGGACTTTAAGGTCCCTTCCAAGTGAGGAGTGACAGCCACACTTCACCTTCCCATGCCTTATGCAGGGTCACACAGGAGGACGGGGGGCAGCAGTAGGAGCTGGTGGGTGTCAGAGCATGTTCCCAACTGACAGTCCTGCATCCCCCCCCATCCCTCTTGGGGGGGTCACAACTACCCATCACATACTTCTAGCTGTGTGAAACACCTCTGGGGTCTTACAAAACCAGGGTGGTGGGGCTGGTGCAGCTCCCTGCAGCTGCCTCCCTTGCTCCCGCTGCCGGAGCCAGAGGGGCGGCCCCAGGAAACATCTCCGGAGGGTGGGAATGGTGCTGGGCCGTGCGAGCGTTTGGGTTGGCAGGGAGAGCCCTGACCTGAGTCATCCTGCTTGCAACCTGCCTTTCCAAGAAAGCAGCTCCTCTTGGGAGCCTGGGATAGGCTCTGTGCTGGATGTGCCGGCCTTGCCTGTGTCCAGCCCCGCGCTCCCTCCGGGACCATATTCCTGTTGCTGTCAGCTCTCTCCTCCTCTTCTCAAGGAGGGCTCAGTGGAGGTGTGTATGGGTGGTCAGAGCTGCTGGTGTGATCTCTGGGATGTGGAACAAGATGTGTTCCAAAACTTCTGACACACAGAAAAAGATGCAGTTGGAAAGGAAAAATAAAAGCCAGCCTGTCTGTGGGGAGGGAGGGTGGGATACCAGGGCACATGAGGGGGGTGCCAGCCTTGTCCCTGTCACCTGTGAGTGCATCCCCATAGCCAACCTCCTCTCTGGGCACAGCTAGGGCCTGCAGGGTGGCAGTTCAGACACCCAGGCCCATGTTACACTCAGCCTGTAATCCCCATATGGGCTGTTCACTTAAGAGCTGGACTCAACAATCCTCGTGGTTCCGTTCCAACTCAGAATAATCTGTATTTCTGTGTTCAGTGTTCTGCCGGGGAGACACATTTTTGCAACAGGGAAACTGCATTTGAGCCAAGCCCGTGTTGTTTCTTCGCAGGCTGCACTTTGGGAGGTGCAGAGCTGTCTCCTGGCTGCCCCACGGAGCTCATATCGTGCTTCCTGGGCCCTGCCCTGGCTGGCCGGGCTCCCTGAGCCCCGCAGTGTCACTGGAGGAGCAGGGCCAGCACCACGCTCTGTCACGCAGCCCCCGGGAGCTGGGCTGGCCCTGCTGAACGGCGAGACCCGGCGCGTTGTGCCAGTGGATTTACGAGCTGCTGGTGTTTGCCTTCCGCGGAGAACACGGGCGGAAAATGCGGCTCGGAAATATTTCCGCAGCTGCCCGGGCCGTGCTGGGAGCAGTGCTGAGAGCAGCCTTGTTCATGGCGGCCCAGCCCAGAGGCCCGGCAGGCTCAGGAGTCACTGCTGGCTCCGGCACAGGCTGCCTGGTAAAAAAAGGACAAGCTGCTGCCTGCTGAAGCAGCACATTCCCGGCCGGGCCACGTGGGCAGCGCCAGTATTTACTCTCCCTTCAGCCCTTCCCAAGGGTCAGGCTGGGAGCTGCCAGCCTGGCAGCCTGCCTGCTGCTTCCCCACCCTGACCAACACCACGCTGGGCCCCTTCCTGTGCCCAGGGGCTTGTTCTGGTGGGAGATTGCCCCCCTCCACCCCCACCTTCTGCTGGGTGCCCACCCCGTGTGCTTCCCTTTCCATGGGTGCTCTGTCTCCCCAAGAGGCCGTGGGTGCAGGAGGCTCAGCCGGGTGTGCAGTCTCAGCTTGCTGCACCTCGTGGTGAGACCACACCAGGCGAGTTCGGGTCAGATCCATGACAACGGAGCTGTTTCGCAACCCTTTGGCTCTGCCTCTGCAGAGTGGAGTGTGTGCTGGGTGTCCTCACCGACCGTGGGCTGCCCAACGTCTGCCTGGTGCTGCGGACCGGCCCAAAGGAGCCTCCCGCACCGGCTGGTGCTCAGCTGGAAGCAGGATGGAGCCTGGCACCGCTCACCCCTCGGCAAACCTCCTGCTGGCAGCAGCCTGGCCAGGCCTGCGTGCTCCTGCCCCGGCATGCAGGGGGGAGGGGGTGCCTGGAGCCAGAACTCCGAGATCTGCTGGAAGTGGCAGTGAAATACCACCCGCCCAGGGGCTGCGGATACCCCGGGAATGGGGGGGACCCTGGTCCCGTGCCACGGGCTGTCGGTCTGCACCCTGTAGAAGCCTGCAGGAGGCTGTGGGCTCACGGGGAGGGGGAGGCACAGGGCCGGTTTCCATGTTAAACGAGCAATCAAGGGCAGGAATTTGCTGACATGGCGTTCTGTCTGAATCGCTGGATTAATCACAGCGCACCATGGCGAGTGAGCTCCCTGGGCCTGCTCCTCTGCCAGCCCTGCACAGCCCCTGTGCTGGGCAGGGACCCAGCCCAGCCTGAGCTCCAGGAGCTCTGGTAACCCCTGCGCTGCCTGCCTGGGGGCTGGGGGTCCCCAGGGAGATGGGCTTTGTATCCAAGCCTCTGCAGGGAGCAGTAGGATCTCCTATGAACACCCAGTCAGGGTCTGGAGCAAGGCTGGGCTCAACAGGTGCTGTGCTGGTTTCTGGGCAAGCTTACAGGTTCCTTGCAGCCTCTGTGCCACATTTGCCTGAGCCACAGCTTTCCTTGCTCCTGTTGGAGGCTGTGTTGGTTGTGCCCTGCTCTGCTGCTGGTGGCTGAGCTGGCAGTGAGCCCTTCCCTCCCTCCCTCTCGCACAGGGTCTCCTCTCCTGGACTTGCAGGAGCAGTTCAGCCCTCCCGAGATTGCTCCGCCTCTCCTGGTGAAGCTGGTGGAAGCTATTGAGAAGAAAGGTAAGGGGTAATGCTGAGCACTGGGGAGGCTGATAGATCCCAAAATCCCACAGTGAGGGCAGAGGGGGAGGCTGATAGATCCCAAAATCCCACAGTGAGGGCAGAGGGGGGCTGAGCTCTGTGGGACACACAGGACACAGCTGGCATCATGCTCCTCCCTGGATTGATCCGCTGTTCCCCAGTGCATGGCTTGACCCCACTGTGCCATCCTGCACAGAGGCCTGGGGTGAGGGTGCTGGGTCTGAGCACCTAACACGCCCTGGATGGGTGCTGGGATTTAGGAGGTGCTTCCAGCCTGGATCTCTGCCAGAAAGGGGAAGAAAGGTGGAGAAAGGGGGCCACTCAACCGGGTGTCCTGGGGGCCAAGGGGGCTGCGGCAGCATCTGCAGCGGGTTGGCTTGGACACCGTCCAGGCGTGGTTGGCTGTGCCACAGCCATTGCCCAACTGGCACTGGGAGCTGACAGCAGTGTCCCCCTTCCAGGGTTGGACAGCGAGATGTTGTACAGGACATCTGGCTCCGAACTGAGGCAGGCGCTGAGAACCGGTAAGAACCAGCTCTGCGCGGTGGAGGCGAATCGGCTCAGATGGAGGAGATTAGTGGATGTGACAGCGCCAGCAGTAATGCAATCCAGGCCAGGCTGCCTGTCCCCGGCAGTTCCTGACTCCCGGCACGCTGCCTGTGGGGCTGGGCTGTCCCCGTCCCAACACGTCCCTGCCCCGCTTGGAAGGGGTGGGAGAGGGGGGATTCCTGACACCCTCTGTGGGCTGGAGCAAAGGGAGACTCACAGGTGAACAAGTGAACCCCTGTGCTTGCCTCCTGCTCTCTTTGGGTGCTCTGCTGATGGGCTGGCAGAGGCTTCTCTGGCTCTGTCACATCACTAATAACCAGGGGAGGATGTTTCCTAGCTTGGTGGCTCTGTGGGGCCGGAGCTGATGTCTTTGCTGGGGAGCCTTCAGAGCTCTCTGCCTCTTGGCTTGGGCCTTATCTGGAACCACATTGGCATATCCCCTTCCACAGACATTCCTGCAAACCCCAACCACACAGTGCTGTGCTGCTCTTGGGACAGGCTTTATGTGCTTCCCAAAATCCTGAGCCCTGTGTTCAAGGGAGACGTTTTCCCCGTTGGGTTCCATGTGTGGCTTCTCGGTCTGTGCTTGGCCCTGCCAGCAGTGGGGAGCAAAATTCTCACCCAAGAGTTGCATGCCACAAGGATTCTTGTGGCAAGATTCCTCTGTGGGCACCCGAAATGACCTCTGCCCTTTCCCAAGGGGAGCTGCTGGGATTCCCAGAACCAGCTTGTTTCTGGGGTGTACAGGGAACTTCCAGGAATCCTCTGTCACATGGGCTGCCCGAGGGCTGCCTGAGCTCCCTCGTGGTGCCGTGTCCCATGATAGCTGGCTGGGAGGTGTGGGATGGTCTCAGGATGGGTGCTGACAGCACTGGAGCTGCTGGCTGGGTGCCCAGTGCTGTTCCCACCACCCATGGGAAATCTGTGCCCTGGCAGATTGGACCCTGGGCGACCTGGAGCCCGTGGACGTGCACTCCCTGGGCGAGGCACTGCGGGGTTACCTGCAGGACCTGCCCTCCCCTGTGGTGCCTGTGTCGGTGCACGGAGACATCCTTCGCATCCTGCAGGGTAAGGACCTCCCCCGTCTGCCTGGGGAATGGGATGGACACGTTTGGGGTATTAAAATAAGCCCTGTCCCTATGAGGCCTGGCACATGGCCCCCGCTGCTGACAGTGCTCCCACTCTGTGATGCGTCGGAGCATAGGGAGCGATGCTGGCTGTCCCAGCTCTTCCATTGTGTCTTTTTCTCTCCCCAGAGATCCCTCAGCTGGAGAATTGCCGGAAGCAGTTGCTGCTGGCCCTGGAGTCGCCTGCGGTCCCGCTCCAGAACACGCTCACCCTGCAGTTCCTGCTCCGGCATCTGGGGAAGGTATCGCAGCAGGCCGAGAGCAACAACCTCCACCCTCGGGCCCTGGGAGAGATCTTCGGCTCCCTGCTCCTGCGGCTGCCTGGCGCCAGGTACGTGAGGCCCTTGGTTCCAGCAGCGTTCCCAGTGTTCCTGGACACTGCCTGCCAGCACGGGGAGTCCAGCCTGGAACAGCAGGTCTGCCCACAGCCCCTGCCTGTGGGATTAAACTGCTGGCAGCACACAGGGGTGGGACTCAAAGCCGGGACAGAGCCCTTGTTTCTGTGTCAGCCTGGGATCTGGCAGCTGGGATGAACCAGCTGACCCCGGCTGCCCCTTTGCCCAGGGCTCATGGGAGGCAGTGCCACTGCTGTTCTCCGCCACAACTGCTGTTCTTAACTTGCCTGCTCTCTCCCTGCAGCCCAGAGCTGAGCCCTGACTTCTCCGTGCTGTTTTTGGAGACACTCCTGCAGACGAAGGAGCTGGAGCCGGAACAGTTGCCTCCAGGTACTGAGATGCCCCTTCCTTGGGGCCCGAGGCGCTGGTGTTTGTGCTCTGTGGGTGTGGAATCTGCCCCCACCAACGGGTTGCCCAGGGTGTTTCGGTAGCCCAGCTGTGCCTGGAGGCTGGCCCGAGGTGTAGATGTGCCTGGAGTAGCTCCTGGTAGCATGGTGGCCAAGGGGGCTTTCCAGGCCGGTCACTGCAGGGAGGGGGACTCAGCACTCCAAGGGATTACCTGTGGGGAGCTGGCATTTGGGCTCACCCAGTTTCAACCCCCTTCTCTTGCAGCCTTGCCTCCCAAACCGCTGAGTCAAAGCCCAGCGCGGCCAGCCTGGTCAACGGGAACAGCGCTCCATTGCAGGACGCTGAGTGGTACTGGGGGGACATCTCTAGGTAAGGGGGTGACTGGCAGTTCATGCCCGGAGTGCCCTGTCCATCCAGGCATTTAGGGGAGCCTGTCACAGGCCGTGACAATCCTGTTCCTTGCAGGGAGGAGGTGAATGAGAAGCTATGGGACACGCCGGATGGGACCTTCTTGGTGCGTGATGCTTCCAGCAAGATCCAGGGGGAATACACACTCACCCTCAGGTAGGGCACTGGGATCCCCTGGGAACCTCTGCCACTCTGGGGTGCAGCTGTGGGTATGAGTCCCTGTGCTTCCAGCTGCCGGGATGCCAAGAGCATCTGCTGTAGGGTGCTGGCATGCTGGTAAGTGCCCTGTCCTCTCCCCTCCCCACTACAGGAAGGGAGGCAATAACAAGCTGATCAAGATCTTCCACCGGGAAGGGAAGTATGGCTTCTCAGAGCCCTTGACTTTTGGCTCCGTGGTGGAGCTCATCACCCACTACCGGCACGAGTCGCTCGCCCAGTACAACGCCAAGCTGGATACCAGGCTGCTCTACCCCATCTCCAAGTACCAGCAGGTGAGCCCTGGGCCTCAGGTGTATGATGGCCAACACAGCCTGAACCAGTGGCACTTGCTCCTCCGTCCCTGCTCCTTTGGGGGATGACAGTGTCCCACCCCTTCTCCCGTGCTGGGACGTTGTGTTGTGGGGTGACAGACGTGCGGGGCTGGTGGGGTTTCATGGGACCAGCTGGAGCAGGTCCTGACTGAGGCTGTGCCTATGGCAGGACCAGCTGGTGAAGGAGGACAGTGTGGAAGCCGTTGGGGAGCAGCTGAAGGTGTACCACCAGCAGTACCAGGACAAGAGCTGGGAGTACGACCTGCTGTATGAGGAGTACACACGCACGTCCCAGGTACGTGGGCACTGCCTTCCCCAGGGGCTGCCTGACACCCCCAAGGGCTGCCCTGGCACCCCCTGAGCGCTGGCAGCTACCACGCCGTGCAGAGGGGAGGGCAGAGATTGGGCACCCACTGACTGCCCTGTTTGTCTGCTGCTGGACTTGAGGGGACTCCCCAGAGGATGGGTTTGAAGAGGGAGATATTTTGGCTGCTGCAAAGACAGTGCTGCTTTGGGGAGGGGGGAAGAGAGGATGAGAATGGGCAGAAATGTTCCTCAGCTCTCCCCTCCCTTCTCCCCAGGAGCTTCAGATGAAGAGGACGGCAATCGAGGCCTTCAATGAGACGATCAAGATCTTTGAGGAGCAGTGTCAGACCCAGGAGAAGTGCAGCAAGGAGTACATCGAGCGCTTCCGGCGCGAGGGCAACGAGAAGGAGGTGCAACGGTGAGGATGGGGGAGATGGAGGCCTTCCCTGTCTGGGGAAGGGCTCCAGGAGCTGGAAGGATCCTCCTGGCCCAGCACAGAGCTCAGGCATGCACAGTCCTTGCCTCTCAGCAGCGTGCTGTGGGCTGGAGCTGGCAGGCAGCCTCCTCTGCCTCCCCCACTCCGGCTCACAGCCCCCCTCTTTCTCCCAGGATCCTCATGAACTCGGAGAAGCTCAAGTCTCGCATCACAGAGATCCACGACAGCAAGATGAAGCTGGAGCAGGACCTGAAGAAACAAGCCTCGGAGAACCGGGAGATCGACAAGCGCATGAACAGCCTCAAGCCAGACCTCATGCAGCTGCGCAAACTGCGGGACCAGTACTTGGTGTAGGTAGCTCCCCTCCAGCCCGGCCCGGGAGCCATCCAGCTGGCTCCTCGAGGGCTCTGGGGCTCGTTGGACCGGCTGGGAGCCTGTTTGGTGCGGGAGTGAACTCTGCTGCGCTGCCGCGGGGCTCTGAGAGGGGCGGCTGCTGCCCTCTGGTGATGGCCCCGCCCGGGAGCCGCGGCCCGGGCTGAGCTCTGCCTTTCCTCACCAGGTGGCTCATGCAGAAGAAGATCAACGAGTGGCTGGGCATCAAGAACGAGACGGAGGAGTGAGTGTCTCCCTGTCCCTGCTCGTGTGGGGGGGCCATGGGCACCTCCCAGCTCCCTCCTGAGGAGCCTTCCCTGCTGGAATGGGTGGTGGCAGCAGCAGTGTGGTGGAGGTGTGGGTGCCCAAACTGAGGGAGTCTGACCCTGCCTGTGCTCCACTGCAGCCAGTACTCCATGATGGATGATGAGGAGGAGCTGCCCCACCACGAGGAGCGAACATGGTACGTGGGGAAGATCAACCGTGTGCAGGCAGAGGAGATGCTGTGTGGCAAGAGGGACGGCACCTTCCTGATCCGTGAGAGCAGCCAGAAGGGATGCTACGCCTGCTCCGTGGTGTGAGTATCCCGGTGCAGATGTGGAATGGGGCTGGTGAGGGCTGTGTTCCCACACGGCTCCACCTTCCCCTCGCCAGATGCTGGAGGTGTCAGACTTTCCCAAAGTCTCCTCTCTGCCTTGGCTCCTCCTGCCAGGGCCAGGTGTATTTCTGGGCTGCTTTGGTGGCCCCTGCTCATGCCCTGCTGTCCCTGTCCCACTGCTGACCTGGGCTCTTTGTGTCCCTGGCAGGGTGGACGGTGACACCAAGCACTGCGTGATCTACAAGACAGCGACGGGCTATGGGTTCGCTGAACCCTACAACCTCTACGCCTCCCTCAAGGACCTGGTCTTGCACTACAAGCACACATCCCTAGTGCAGCACAATGACTCCCTGAATGTCACGCTGGCTCACCCGGTCCTTTCCCAGCCACCAGCCAGATGAGCAGCCCATGCACAACACAACAGCTGCCTTCAGCTTCTCCCCAGGGCGCTGCTTTCTGGTTCTGGACTCTTGCACCCTGTATAGTTGAGTCTCTGTGCTCCTGCTCCTTCAGAGCCTCTGAGATGTCTGTGACCGTTCCTGGTGTCCCTCTTGGTCAGTAGCTGAAACCTGTGTTGGCTGATGGGACAGAAAGGCTGAGCTGTTGATTCCCAGCGGGCTCCAGCCTCTAGGAGGTGGGATCCAGTTGTGATTGAGTTGTTGGGGGTGAGCACAGCCCCCTCCCCTTCCCTGATAAGTAGGTCAGATCCCCTTCTTGCTGGCAGGTCGCCCCGCTATGCATCACTGTAGAGCTTGGTTCCCGATTCCTCGGAGCGCTCCGGCTGGGACTGAGGGGCTCCCTGTCTGGATGCTGGAGGAGGCAGAGGAGGAGCGTGTGCATCCTTCAGTCTCGCTTCCCTCGGAGCTCTGGCAGGCTGTGATGGTGTCTGGTACGAGGGCTGCTGCTCTTGCGTGCAGAGACTCATTTAGGAAGGAGAAACCTCACCCTCCGTGGGGCTCCCCACCTCACAGTCATTCCCTAGTGTCGTAACCACCTCTGGAGTGTTGCTGCCCAGGCAGGGAGGATCCAGTTAGCAAGGGATCTCTTGCCATAGTTGTGCCAGCGAAGCTGTGAAACCCGTGTTGGTACCCGTGTTTTTCCTGGCAGGATCTGTGGGGATGCACAGCTCGTTGTTCCCAGCCGGCTTCGGTGACTCTCTGCACACGTAACCCGTTTGAAGCTGGACTGTAGCACTGTAAATATGGTTCTTTTTGTGAGCTTCCCTGGTGCTGGTGTTTGCTGAGCCTGCACTGCCACCCCCAGCGTGGGCAGCAGCTGCCAGGCTGCCCCAGGCCCTGCAGCTCGAGCAGGAGAGGGCTGGAGTCCAACGCGCACTATGAGCCCTACATGGAATGAAGGACCTCTCTGCTGCAGGAGGACCGATCTGCTGGGCCCAGGGCATGCTGAAATGTATCTGCATGATGGTGAACTACGTATGCAAAGCACTTAGAATCATGGGTACTGTATGGAGTCCGGGGCAGGGCTGCCCACTGTGGGCAGGGCGTTGTGTCCGAGTTCAGAGGGCCCGAGGGCAGCCAAGGTGGCTCTGGAAGAGCTTTAAAAGCTGAGCTGAGAGGCTGTGGTGGCATTTGCTTCCCTGGGTTATCTCATCTGCTTGGCTTGAGGAAAGCATTCTTGGTCTTCTTGATTTGCGGGAGAGGCTTGTTCCTTTTTGGAGGTTGCATCCCAGGGATGGGGTTTTGCTGCTTCTGTTTCCCATAGTAGCTCGGGCTCTGCTGGCTCCACAGGGTGCTGTGTGCTCATCCTCTGCCCTTGATGTGCCACCTGCATTGGGGACCATGCTGTCTCTCCTTCCCTGGCCAGCTCTGCTGCTCACCTTGCCCTGGGCTGGTCCCCAGATCCTTTTGGAGCTGGGATTGCTGGCACAAACGTCCTCCTCTTCCCATTGCTTGTGGCAGCTCTCCTGTGCTCAGTTGTACAGCCCCTGTTCCCTGCTCTGCATGTCCTCTCTGGGTCCTGGTTTTTGGGTCTGGTTTGTTGGTGTTTGATGCTCTGGTGCAGGTGACAGGTCAGGGGAGCTGTGGGTTACTGTTTTTGACTTCAGGGATCACTTGGGAAAAGCTGCCAGGGATAATTAAGGGAATTCTTTGGGCTCGAGCACGTGAGAGATGAGAGCATGTGGGAATGGGGCAGGAAGGCTCCATCCTCATAGTGCTCTCCAGTGACCTACTGTCGTCTGTGGAATGGCTGGGTGGGCTGCACCAACACCCCAAAGCTCTGTCAGTCTGCCACACTGGTCAGCGTGGCACATTTTCAGCCTGGGGACTCTGTGCTGCTCCTGTGCTTGTCCCTGCACTTCCATCGTGTCCCTGTGCCACAGGACAGACTGCAGGGGATGGGATCATCATCAGGATGGATGATCCTCAGCCTCTCACCCCATGGGCTCCACGTTCCCCCCCCACCCCCACAGTGAGCTCAGGGCCAGTCCTGCCAAGGGGAGTTGCTCCCAGCTCATGCAGGGACTTGCTGAGCATCTGAAAGTCTCAGCTTCAAGCTGTCACCTGTCAACACTTCGCTTGGTGCTCGCCCGGCTCTGCTGCCCAGGGAAATTCCAGCTTCTCTTTACCCTGTTTTTGTATCCTTTGGGCTGAGTTTCTGCAGTTCTCCCCGTGCTGTCCCTTCCTGCTTCCTCCCCAGGAGCAAGGAGGGGATGGTCGCGGTGAGCCCTCTGCACCTTCCAGCACTGCCATTCTTGCCCACTTGGTGACCTGTCCCCGTCAGGGCTCTGCTCGCACGTCCTGTGTACGACGAGGAGGAAGATGCCCTTCCCCAGGGCTGCCTTTCCCTGACGGTGCTTCACTCGGCTCCCCGAAACGCAGCTTTTCCCCGCAGTCCCCGGGGTGGGAGCCCAGCCCCTGAGCTCCTGCAGCGCTGCTCTCCCCGGCATAAGCTCACTGTGATTTGTCCTTTGTTGCTTTCGCTTGTTCTGAACCCACTGGTGCCGCGTTTGGAGGCGCTGGGCTGTGCTTTGCTGCTTGTGATCCCCCCTCCACGTCCTCCAACCGTGCCGCGGGTGCAGCGTGGCTGTTCCTGCTCCCAGGGGACAGCTTGGGGCTTGTCCCTCCGTGTCCCTGCTCGGGGGGCTCCATGACCCCCCTGTAACCTCCCCCCAAGGGGTGCTGGTGGAGGTTTGTGCCCAGAGAGGACGTGGTGGCTGCGTGAGGTTTTAGTTTTTTAGGCGTATTCAATAACAAATAATGTGACCCTTCCCTCCCCACGAGCTGTCTGTTACCAGCAGTATGCTCTCTGCTCTTTCTGTTGATGTTTACTAATGTAAACCCAGTATTTGTTACTGTAAGAGGAGTTTCTGTTGTTTTTTTTTTTTTTTTTTTTGTACGGTACTTTGAAAAAACCCACAAAAACAACCAAAAAAAAAAAAAACTAAAAAAAAAAAAAAGAGGAAAGAAATAAACAGAGTTAATGACCCGGCTGCTGGATTGCTGGGGGAGGGTGTTACGTGGGGGAGCGGAGGCGGGAGGGCCGCAGTTTCTGGGCTGGGTGCAGGATGTGACCCATCCTCCGGATGCTGCCAGGACTCTCCTCCCGGTTTTACTGGGCCGGGGCACGTGGGGACCAGCCCTGGGCTCGCCAAGGGGCGAGAAACGGCCGGAACAGGCGGCTCTAAAGAGCGGGGAAAGTGCGAGGTTCCTCCGCACTCAGCCCCGGAGTTGGGGCTCAGGGGGGATGGCTTGGGCAGCACCCCCTTCCTGTACCCGGAGCTGCCACCCTGGGGGTGCTCCAGCTCCAGCACCGCCCCGGGGGATCCGCGGGGGCTCGGCAGGGATCCAGCCCCTTCCCCGCTCGGGAACCACCAGGCATGGGCTGCTCCAGGTCGGGTTTCAGTCCCAGGCGCGTCGCAGCCCGCGGGGAAGCAGCAGCTGCTGGCGGGGCTGTGACCCCGGAGCTCGGTCGCGGGGGGGGACAGCGGGGACGGGGTAGTCGGAGCCCCACGTGAGGCGGGAGCGTCACCGCAGAGGCAGGAAGGGCAGGGAGGGTGCACGGAGGCGGGCGCAGCCGGGCTTTAAAAGTCCTTGCCGGGACGGGCTCGCTTCCGCGTCACCCCCGGCGTCCCCATGGCCCCCGCGGTGCCGCTGCCCGCCCTGGCGCTGGTGGCCCTGGTGGCCCTGGTGGCCCCGGGGCTCGGCGTGGCCCCCGGGCTCGGCGTGGCCCCCGGCTGTGACCTCCCTACCCACCTCTGGTGCAGCTCGCCGGAGACCGCCGTCGCCTGCCAGGTCAGAGCCGCGGGTGCCGGGGCTGCCCCACGCAGGGCAGGGTCACCTCACACGTGGGGACATGTCCTGCCTGCCCGGCGGCGGAGCTGGGGACGCGGGGGACGGGGTTGGGGCATTGCCCGGCCGCGGTACCTGGAGCCAGTGGCGGCTCCGAGCGCCGCTGTGGCACCGGCGGGCACAGCGCGGGGATGCTCGGAGACCCCGTGCCACACCGGCATCCCTGAGGAATTGCTGTGCTCCAGCCGGACCCGGACCCTGGACTCTCCCCGACCGTCGCTGGTACTTCTACTTTTTAAGCATAAAACTTAGGCTTTTCAGGTTATTTCTGCCACGAGCAGCCCCAGGCGGTGACAAGCGTGTGACAGTGGCTCTGGTAGTGCCCTGTGAGCCCCGCAGGGCTGCAGCCGCCACCCAGCAGTGGGTGCAGGGCTGTACCCCCACCCAGGCGTGCCCTGGCCTAAATTTGTTTTCCTCTGAAGCAGTTTGGGGAAGTTGTTTTGGAAAGCCCCAGCATTGGGTGACGGCAACGCACAGGATCCTGCGGCTGCTCGAGGCCCCCGGCCACTCTCACTTCCCTCCAGCCCTGCACGCCCTCACCCCCCTTCTGCCCCACACCCACCCCGGGAGCTTTGCCCCTCCCTGTAAGTATTTGGGGAGGGGGGTCTGCAGCCGTGTGCCCCCTGTGCACCCCGACACCTCCCCGCACGCAGGTGGAGAGCCGCTGCCCCGACCCGCCTCGCCCCGCGGCCGCCCCGGTGGAGCTGAGCCTGTACTACGAGAGCCTGTGCCCAGCGTGCTGGCAGTTCCTGGTGCTGGAGCTCTTCCCCACCTGGCTGCTGCTGCCCTCGGAGATGCTGAACATCACCCTGGTGCCCTACGGCAATGCCCAGGTAGGATCTGGCCGAGCCGGTGCCGCGGCCGCTCGCCCCGGTGCTGCCGGCCCCGCTCAGACCGGTTGGTCCCGCAGGAGAGGAACATCAGCGGGAAGTGGAACTTTGAGTGCCAGCACGGCCCCGAGGAGTGTTTGGGCAACATGATCGAGGTGACGGTCCCTGTTCCCGTGGTGCTGGCACAGGGGGATCCAGCGGGCCCCGTACCACCCACCCTGTTCCCATAGACCTGCCTGATGAACGAGGCCAAGAACTACAGCACCTACTTCCCCATCATCTTCTGCCTGGAGTCAGGTAGCTCCGTCACCAAGAACCTGGAGGCTGTATGTCCCCTCCCCTGTCCCTCATGCCCTGCTGTGGGGATGTCCCTGTCCCTCATGCCCCACAGGGACATCCCTGTCCCCTCTCCTGGCAGTGCCTGCAGATCTACGCCCCGGAGCTGGACAGGGGCCGCATCGCCGCCTGCGTGCAGGGGGACACAGGGATGACCCTGATGCACCAAAACGCCTAACTGAACGAGGCACTCGACCCCCCGCACCAGTTTGTGCCCTGGGTCGTCATCAACGGGGTATGGCAGAGGGGACCAGGGTGCCAGGCAGGGCTGGGGCACCGTGGGGACACCCCTGAGCAGCCCCATCTCCCCCCACAGAAGCACACGGATGAGCTGCAGGCACAGGCAGAGGCCTCCCTGCTGGGGCTGGTTTGCCACCTCTACCAGGTAGGACAGGGATCTGGGGGGACAGTGGGGCTTGGGGGCATGTCCCTGTTGGGGCTCTACTGGCCACTCTCTGGCAGGGGGAGAAACCCGAAGCCTGTGGGGGCTCAAAGGCCCCGAAGACCCTCTGGGCTGCAGGCGCTGAGGGAAGATGAGGGAGCACCGAGGGAGAGGTCAATAAAAAGGATTTTAAAAAAAACCCCCAAGGATCTGGAATGGTATGTTGAGAGGGGCAGGAAGCTGGTGGTCCTACCGCACCATGGTGCAAGGGAGGGGGAGCTGGGCTTCAGGGCAATGGGACTGGCCTCTTCCTGCACCCAGGGCACGTGAGAGGATGTGCTGGGCAATCACCTGCTCCTGGGGATCACAAAGGAGCCCCTTGAAGATTTCCGTGGAAATCTGCTAAACCCCTCCCTAAGGAACAGAGCATTTGCTCTCTCCAAGCCCTGGGAAGCAGCTCTGTTGTCCTTCTTTCTCCTTCCACTGAAAGCATTAACCATTTCAGCAGCTCTGTGGGCCAAGACCACCCCAGCTCCCCCCAGTCCTTCTCCCTTCCCAACCAGCAAGTCTAGGACAGCGCCTTTCCTGGTGGCTCCCTGAGTACTTGGGACAAGAAGTTCTCTCCCCAGACTTGAGGAATTTCCCAGACCTGCTGGCCACAGCAGGAGGCCATTCCCAGCTGGGGGCTGGGAAACTGAAATCCACTGTAAGGACAAGGACTCCCGATCCAGAGAGTTCTCCTCCCTGCCTATGGAAAACTCCTCAGTGCTGGGTGATGGGCACCAGCACCTACTGCAACCTGTGCTTTTTTTCCCATCCCCCTCATCCTCCCCCAGAGGCTCCCAACCACATCACCCCCACCTATAGGCACTGCTTCAATCCTCTCCCTCACATCTAGGGTGACACCTTCCCCACCTCTCCTGAACAGCCAGGATGTCCATCAGAGCACTCCAGGTGTGGGACAGCCCCCCAGAGCCATCAGTAGGGAGTCAGGGACACTCCAACCCTCCTGAACTCTTCCCTTCTCCCAGAGGAGCTGTTTAGGGCAGGGAGGACACACTGAGCCCCATCCTGGGAGATGCCAGGGAGCCCTTGGCAGCCAACAGCCAGAAGGAACCGTGGCCCTGCTGCCACAGCAGCTCCCAAGACATGGTCCTTGGGCCCCCTGAGTCCTTCAGCCCTTGGGGCTCCCCAAAATCTTCTAGTCCTGAGGTGGGGTCCAAGCTGAGCCCTGCAGCCAGAGGATGCTCTGGGGTGGGGGGGCAGGAACAGAGGTGACCAACAACCACCAGTCCTGTCCCTCTCAGTTCAGCCAAGCTGTGGCCCCTGCCCTGGGCACACCAAGACCCCACCTGCAGCACTCCCACCACCCTAAGAACAACAAGGGAGGCAGGTAGGGACCCTCCTGCCTTTGTCTGCACCTCAGGCAGCAGCAAGACCAGGAAGAAGGGAAAAAGGTATAAGAAAAAAAAAAATAGAAAAAAAAAATCATACCACCAGCCAGAGAGTGCCTGGAAACTTCATCTCTCTTTATTTGCCCATTTCCCATCCAAAACCTGGACCCCATCTCAGCTCTGGGCCCCAGGCAAGAACAGTCCCACACTGGCACGGGCACAGCACAGCTCCTGCTGCCGCTCAGCCTCTCGCCTTGAGCATCGTCCCAAAACTTCCGTCCCCTGGAGCAGCTGCACCGCCAGCGCCCACAGCTCTTGGGGAGACGGAGAAATCTTCTGCTCGAGAGAAGGAGGGAAAAGAAAGAAAATAAACAAGCCTCAACCTCAAATGCGAAGGAGCCTCAGTGCCGGAGGACGAGCTCTCCGCTCCCGAAGCCTTTGGTGCCATCAGGGCTGAGGGGCAGGTAAAGGGCCCAGCCTGTGGGGCTGGGTGAAGTCCCACAGGCTGAGGGGCTCAGACACCCACTTTGGGGCCAGGGAGTTGCCTGGAGGAGGTTCAGTGTCAGGAGAGGGGCTTCTGCTGCAGGGTCCCCAGACACCCGTGCTGCCCCCCAGCCACCGCAGGGGCTCTTGGTGCCGCCCTGGGGGCTGTAGCAGCTGCTGATTCCCAAGCCCAGCCCAAGTGGAGGGAAGACCTTGCTGCTGGTGAGGAGGGATCTGGTTAAGGTGCTGAAATTCCCAGGCTTGAAGTCGCTGCCAGGCCAGGCAGGTACCACAGCATCCTTGTTCAGGAGGGACAGCGGCCCCGAGGCATCGTCCGACCCCGGAGAGCTGCAGAGCAGGGAGTCGTCGCGGCTGTAGGGCAGGCTCAGGGCAGCTCCCTGCACCTTCCAGCCTGGCTGATCCACCCGCTTCTCCACCACCTCCCTCTCTTCCCCGGGTTTCTTCCTGTTCCCCTTCCCGCACAGCTGGACCACCTTGATGCCGCTGTCGCCGTCGCGGTGCCCGAGGTCCTCAAAGGCCCTGCAGGCACTGTCCAGGCTCTCCTACTCCACCAGGGCACAGCACCTGCTCAGCAGCTCGGGGAACTTGGTCAAGTATCTCCTCACGTCCGAGGGCAGCTTCCGGCCCGGCCGCAGGACGCGGATGGAGGCGATGGCTCTGAAGGGGCTGAACATCCTCACGATGGTCTCCAGGAAGTTCTGCTGGAGCGGCGGTGGCAGCAGCGGGTCCTGCCCCCGGGGCTGCAGCTCCCAGGCCAGCAGCAGCTTACTGGGGGGGATGCTCAGCAGGGCCTCAGGGATGGGCACCCGGCGCCTCACTTTGGTGCCCTCCTTGTTCACCTCCAGCAGCTCCGAGAATTTCAGGGCGTAGAGCGTGAGCTGCCAGTCCCGTGTCAGGTACTTCACCTGGGGAAGAGAGGGGGCTGCTGCATCCCTGGGATCTCCCAGGCAGGGACCACCCTAAACCCACCATCCAGGCAGGTTACAACCGTATCAACACAAAGTCACGGCAAGGCAGTGTCCCCCTCCCACGTGAGCCGCCTTGGGGCCTGCAGGAAGTCCCCAGCGTCCCCTGGGCTGTGGCAGCAAACCTCAGCTTCCCCAAATGTCACACCACCAGCACTTGCCTGGGTTTTTCACTTAAGGGATGATCTCAAAGCAGCCTGGGGGGGGGAAATCATGGGTGAATCCAGCCCCAGGGGTGGTTTGGGGACTGTTCACTGTTCCCCCAGTCCCCCTCCCTGCAGGGCATTGAAGGCAGAGAGCAGAGCCCAGCTCTGCATCACCAGGGCTTTGCTGGCAACAGCCTGAGGGGAGTCTGGACCTGCCTGTCCACCCCACTGGAGACAGCAGAGCACACCTGGACATCCTCCACCCTTCCCACTCCTCCCCAGGCTCCCTACCTTCTTGAAGGACGTCAGTAGCTTGATGCTGACAAAGCCCATCTTGTTCTTCTGGACGTGTTTCAGGAGGAAAGCGTCCCTGGCCAGGTTCTCGTCGGACAGGTAGAATTCCACCTGGGACACGATCCTGCGGACCAGCTGCGGGTCGGGGAGGGAGCAGCTGCCATCCAGCAGGTCAGGGCCCAGAGCACCTCTCAGGTCACAGACCCTCCTGGCAGAGCTGTGGGGACACAGGGGTGAGGTGAGGACTTGCAAAGCGTCCCCAAGGGCTCAGCAGAAGCGCCGGGGACATCCAGAGCCACCCGCTCTGCCTCGGCTGCGGGGAACAACACCAGCCCGTGCCCTGCGAGCCTCCCTGGGCTGGGAGAGCCAGACCGTGAACTTGAACACCATTCCACCCAAGGCACACATTCCCTTGGGGACAAACACAGGGGAAAGAGCGGGGCTCAGCCCCCTCCTGCACATCCCTTCACCACGTACCCGTCGAAACTCTCCCATTCGTCCTCCCGGCCGAGCAGGGCGAGCGAGCGGCTCCGCGGGGGGAGGAGGTGCCGTGCCAGGAAGGAATTTCCTTGTGCCGGCCCTGGAGTGCTGCATCTGGGCCGGGAACGGAGCCCTGAGGCCATCCCTGAGCTGCGCGATGACATTGTCCTTGATCTGGGACGTGGCACAGGAGAAGGACAGGGATGGGACGCATCCTGAGCCCTGGTGGGGGCCGCAGCCCCCAAGCCCAGCCCAGGGAAGGGGGAGTGGAGGCAGCTGGGGGTTGTCTCCTTACCTGCTTGGCAGTGCTGGGAAGGGTAGAAAGTCTCAGCAGTACATCCCAGAGACCCAGGGGCAGCAAACCCCAACCCTCCCCAGCTCCAAACTGAGGCTCCCAAAAGACAAGGGCAAAAATAAAATAAAAAATTTAAAAAAAAAAAAGAGAAAGAGAGAGCACCCCTGGGGCAGGGAGGCTGTGGGTTTATAAGCATAACCACCCTGGAGGAGCTGTGGGGGCGGTTGTGGACCTGCCCCCAGACCCACCTGCTCCAGGTGAAACCTGTTTGTGGTTAAACTGCCCCAGCTGAGCCCTGGGACCAGCCAGGCTCCTCCTGCCTGGGCTGCAGAGCCAGGCCTGGGGCAGCAGGAACAGGGGCAGCAGAATCTGTCCCCTCTGGTGGACAGTGAATTGATGCCACGAGGCCTCTCGGGCCGTGCCTCAGTTTCTCTGCCTTGTGCAGGATCAGGAACGGCCACGGGGAGGTGGAGGGAGGAACGTTCAGCCCAGAAAATCGATCTGGGCTCTCAGTGCTGCCAGAGTGACAGCCAAGAGTCCTTCTCCCTGCAGAAACACCTCCTGCCCCAGCGAGGGAGCAGCAGAGCCCCAGGAATGGGGGTGAGAGGCTGAGGCTAAACCTTCCCCTTCCCGAGGGATCCGAGCAGGGATGATCCAGCACTTGTCACATCCCTGTCTCGCTGTCCCCATCCTCTCAATTAGTCTGGAAGCATAATTAAAATGTGCTTCCTATGGCCCCATGCTCAGCCTGATCCTTCAGCCTCTCCTCCCCTCTGGGAGTGTAATGGGGGGTTATCCCTACACAGCAGCTGCTGCTCCATGGGGATCCCTGCCCCAAACTGCTGGCAATACCCTGCACTGCTCAGCTCCTGCATCCCCCCCAGTGCTGCAGCATCTCCTGACATCTCCTCTCAGGGAACACAGAAGAAATGGGACCACAACACTCCTTGTACAGGCCTGAGCATTGGATACATGTTTATTGCTGTTCAGGTTTAGCTGTGAATTTTGCACATAGGGTTTAGGTGGTTCCCCAGACTCCTCAGACGGTGCTGCAGAGCTCCAGAGCA